TTGACCGGCTGCTTTGTCGCTCTCAGGGGCGGAGCTGGCGGCGGGAGCCGACCCGGAGTTGGCGGCCACCATGGGCTTCTCGGGCTTCGGTGAGTGCGGGGCCGGGGAGCGGGGGCGGGGGTGGGCGCTGCGCTGCGGAGGGGCCGGTGCGAGCTTGTCCCTGTCCGTGTCCCCGTCCCCGCAGGGAAGAAGGCGCGGACCTTCGACCTGGAGGCGCTGTTCGAGCAGACGCGCAGGACGGCGGCAGAGCGCAGCAGGAAGGTCCTGGGTAAGAGGCGACTCCTCCGTGCTCCGAGCTGGGCTCGGCTGCACCAGCCCCGCGCCCAGGCTCAGCGGAGAAGGCCCCCGCAGGTTCTGGGCCACGGGCCTGGCACCTGCTGGTGCGAGAAAATAGCTGGAAAGTGGAGGAAAGACTGAAGCGACCTCTGCACCTCTCCCATCCTCTCTGTCTGCTGCCAGGGAAGGCGTCAGCAGTTTGAGTGGCCCTTATGGTTAACATTACAGTCCCCAGGATGGCGTGGGGGGGGAGTGTCACTGGTTGCTCTTTGTGAGCCTTCAGCTTTGGGTTTTACTTGAGGACTCCCTGGTCAAAACTAGCACCTGCCCCGCAGGCCCAGTGCAAGACCGGATGTAGAGGGGATGGGGCTGATGGGGGACGCGTTGAGATATGTGGGGTTTTTTGTGGTGTTTTTTTAATGGCTCTGATTCTGCCCAGAGAACAGCACGCACTGAGCCCTGAGCATCACTTCACCGACCTTATAACACTTTGCGTGTTTCCAGGGATCCACCTGCCCGGTTCATAACGTGGGGCCTAAATGTACTGTGAATTAGTGGAGTGCTTGTTCGCTGGCATGAGGAACATTTGGATGATACCGTAAAAATTTAACTGTGTAAGGAGTCCCAGAGCGTAATACGGACACCTTGTTAATATAAGTTGCATCCCGTTAAATAGAACAGTTCTTCAAAGTATAAGAAATCTTCACTTTTTTATACCTGGCCACCTAGAGCTGTTGCTATCCTTCTGGGAAGAACATCTCTTTCATTTCAGTTTAGGAAGGAAATAGGGGGAAAAAACCCTGTTTCCAAGTGAACTACAGCTTTCCAGAGACTTTTGGATTGTTGAGTCTTTGTTTCACAAGGAAAGAAGCGTCTTGTGACCCTTCCCTTGGATTTTGAATGATAAACGTTTTGTAGGCAGTTGCTTATAGAATGGTGAATTGATTTTATTTTTAGATCAATTAGAAGGTTGACGTTTAGTTTAAAACTAGACTTTGCTTCTGATTTCATTTACAAGCAACTTACTATTCATAATGCTGCTTAAACAATAGGCACCTTAGGTTGCTCTTTTGCAGGAGCTCCTAAAACTTGTATAAGAAAGGACTTGAGAGCTACACTTCTGTCAAACATCCTGCAGCTTCATCCCCAGAGGAGGAGGAGAAAATCAGTAGATTCTTCACAGGGTGAAGTTCCGTAGCCCCCTGCAAAGATGAGGGTTTCCAAGCTAGCCAGGCTGTGTACAGCCTCAGCAAATAGCTTTCAGAACCAGCTACTGCAGTGGGTCAGCTGTTTGCTTCAGGTTTTATTTCAAAGGACTTCACTTATCTAGTCAGCTGCACAGGACCGCTAATGAACTCCAACAGATGAGAGAAACTGTGCTTTCTGAAGTAAAAGCTGCAGTAGGGTGCAAGCCAGTATGAAAAATCTGAGTTACACTTTATCTGTTCTTGCTCAAGTATAGTTCTGACCACTCTCTTTGAATTTGTGTGGCCTCTTCAGTTTCTTGTCCCTCCCTTGTACTTGAGCTACACTGAACTGTTACATACTTGAATGAAAATGGGGAAGTGAATTTTATTTTCATCTTTGTGGGATGTTTTCATGGAGACTTTTTCCACAATGAGCAAAACTGCTGAGAGCCATAGCAATTTATTTTCATTTGATCATGTGTTTGGAATAAAGGTAATGACATCTGTTTGCATAAGATTTGTAGACTTAGTTCCCTATCTTAGGAAGTTCTCAAGTGTTTTTGATGGTACTGAAAACATACACATGCCCCTTATTATGCCCACTATGTACTTTTGAACAGAAAGATACTGCATTAGCTGGCAGCGGGAGGGTGTTCAGTATTAACTTTTTCTGAAAATGAAGAAAATAGCTTTATTGACTCTCAAAGAAGCCCTGCACTTGTTAATTATTTTATATAATGAAAAACTTAAAAAGACTTAACAGCAATGGTTCTCTCCATATTTAGAAGCTCGTGAAAGAGAGGAGGAAGAAAAAGAATTTAAAGGCCAATGTGATGATTCAGCAGCTTCAGGCTCAAATGTGGTGAGCGCTGGTTCTGCAGTAACTTTCAGGTACCTAGATAGAGAGAAAGTATCACATCATCTTATGATTTGTTTGTATGAAGAGCTTGAGACTTGGAATTTCTGAGCACGTGACTCTGCAAACTGGAGGTTTTTTCATTGAAAATCAGAAAGCTTGGAATTTCTAGAGGTGTACCGATACATCAGTCCATATCGTATCGGCACTGATAAAAAGGAAAATTGGCATAATCAGCTTTTTCTGGCTGATGTCGGTGATAATGTTGCCAATAAATGCCACATGCATGCGTGCAGCCAGACTGGCAGCTTGGAGAGCAGCGTTTGGCTGGTAAATTTGTTGGGGGGAAAGGGTGTGGTGGGGCAGATTGCGGCCTCCGCGGTGAGGGAGGAAGTGGGATGGGGATAGGTGCCTACAGACTTACCAGCCGGATGCTTCTCTTCAAGCTGCCGGGCTGCATATCAGCAATCAGATCAGTATTGGCCAATATGGCTGGTTAATAATCGGCTATTGGTATTGGCCCAAAAAATCTTTATTGGTGCACCCCTGGGAATTTCTTAATATGGTCTATCAATTTGTAGTACAGGGTTCTCTGCACATCAGTACTGGATAAGAATGTAATTTTACTAAGCTACATGATACATTGCTAGTCTGAATTTGCATATATTGAAACAAACTTTACTTATCTGCATATTGCTTAAATGCTTAAACCACTCAAGTTCATTGTTAGTCCTGCTATCTACTTTGCAACTTAGTTGTACTCCAGTTAAACGCATTCTAATGTACTCCCTTTTAATTGCATATGACAGAATGAAAGGGAAGCAGTTATCAAAGGCTCAGCTGGAAACCTTAAAAATAAGTCTCTTTTGCTTCTTGAAGATCCATCTCCCCTAACTTTTCAAGGCTGTTAATGGTAGATTCTCCACTATTAAAAGCTTTGAAAATAAGGGGAGCTCATTTTCAGGGCTGCTATTAAAAACTTTGAAAAGAAAGAGGACTAGTGAGTATGTGGGCTGCTGGTATATAGCACTGTCAGTGTTCTGATACTTATGTTTTACAGTAAGTTTGGATAAATATATATTCCAAGCAACGTACCTGTTTTGTTTTGTGTTTTTCATTGTGTATTAAAAAAAACCCCAACAAAACCTCAAAGTAGTGGGTAGTGGATGTAAGTAATATATAACAAACATATCGCTGAAGCCAAGGAACAAACAACTGTTCCTCTCATCTATGATTTGCAATTAAATGTATATAGAGTTTGGAAAATAAACCAAAATGCATTAATACACCCACAAAGATAGTCTGTAAACACCTACACAGACGCACATGCACACTGAAATTAAAATACCTCTTTTTGTATTGGATGCCTGGCTCTGCCTACTTTGGACTCTGTCTCTTTCAGCTGTTGATTGTAAACTCCTCATACCTTTTCAGTGTGATGTAAAATTGGAACTTGATTTTCAGATTGCCCATCATTTTCTATTTTATAAATAGAATATAATGCCTATAGAGACAGAGAGCCAATAAAGAGTGTATGCCATTGTACTTCAACCTAACCTAGATAAAGAGTAAGAAGATTGGTAATTCAGTCCTTTGTCCCCTCTACTGGGACTACCAAAACTGCACCAAGTGTGTCTATCTCTATGCTTTAGATAACTCACTTCTGAAATAACCAGCCCATTCTGCTGGTCATCAGATACTAAATACCAAGGAGAAACAGCTACTCTCTTCATTCCATTACCAAGTCACCCAAACCTGTCCCACTATATTTAAAAAACGTGCAGTTTCTAGAAAAACTGCCACCTTTTGTAGGGAACAGCCACAATTGTTTTGATTAAGATTCTTAAACTGGCAATGGTAAGAAGAGTTGAACTGTTAAGGCGTTCTCTCTATAAGCATGAAGAATTGGGCTCTTGTGAATGGAACACCTTTGGAGGGTTCTGTGTGCATTTGTGAGTGGGTGAGTGGCAGTGTTTGGTGCCAAGAGCAATGCTTCATATTGAGGACATCCAGTCTTATATATAAGCTAGCACCTGTTTAGTTTGCAGTTCATAACTGGAAGGAATGTTAGGATATCTCTCAAGTTCATTTACAAGCTGAGATGCAGAGATCTGTCTCTTCATAATTATGCAGACTGAATTATTATTTTTAATGTTAAGACAACTTGCATGTGTTAATTCTTGTTTTTAAAAGCTCACCTGGACTTTGAGAGGGTGCTGAGCAGTCTTGTTTGCTTTATTTCTAAACTTGTTTTTGTTGTTAAGATATTAGTAATTTGCATGCTCTTTTTATGGAAGGGTGGGTAGAAGGGCACCTTATGGACTAACTGAATCAGAGATGCCTATACTTTCTAGAGCAGCCGCTCTCTTAGTCAGATACTACTATGATGTTGCTCTCTCTTGGGAGCATAAATTTTAGTTAATGCAATCTTTGTGTACCTGTTTCAGATTATAGATTTTGGTATTAAAAAAAAAAAAGTGAACTGTTAGCACTGGTTATTAATAGCTGTTGTAGAACCAGCAGAGGGAGTGCAAGAACACTTAATAGCTCCTCTCTGAGCTAAAATTGTGTCATTTTACACACGTGAACATTTTTTACTGACCAAATGATGCGTTCTGACTGCTTACGTGAATTCCATAGGTATTCCTTGTATTAAATGGTCACTGAATATGGCATTTAAAATACAGAGGCTGTATTCTTAGCAGATTACTGAGAATGAAATGTGTGATCTAGTGTACTTACATTCTGAGTGTTTGTGAAGTGTACAGGCAGTCCTTGACTTACAATGTTTCAGGTTACAATGTTTCGTGCTTACAGCATTTATAAATTGGCACCCTGTTTCAACTTTACAATGCCAGTTTTGACTTACAATGCTTGATCCGATGCAATGCCATGCCAACGAACAAGTTCGCTGCATCACTCATCTCCCTGGAGAACATCTGTCCAAACTTCCTTGGACACTTTCTTTAAGAAATCAGACAAGACTCCAGGAAAAACCTGCAACCAAGACTCCTGAGAAGACTCCAGCCAACATCCCTTCAAAAAGTCCAACCAAGAGCCCTTCAAAAAGTCCAGCAAGGTCACCTCAAAGAAGTCCTTCCAAATCAATATGATTTCTATTTACAATATAAATACATTAGTGTAGCTATATTACTCATCTATAATTGACTGAGTATAAAATGCTGGGGTATTTTTGGTGAAAATAGTGTATCGGGCCTTGGTTCAGGAACCAATCCCCCATTTAAAACATTGTTTCTCATGGTAAAATTGGTTCCGAGTTACAACATTTCAACTTAAGACATGGTTTTCAGGAACCGATTGTGTTGCAAGTCCGAGGACTGCCTGTAATGTAATGTTCTCTGCTTGACTCTGGGTCTGATATTACCATTTTGATTTTTGCTTACCTACCAGGAATAAAATGGCTGCACAAAAAGCAGGCCTTAAAGAATCAAGTCCATAAAATTTATGTAAAATGTAGTATTACTATGACTGCTGATAGATGTGGTGGGGGGAACCCTGCGCTTTACTGGAAGAAGCAGTGTGTTAGTTTGATGTGCCTCCACAGTGTCTGTATAAATCGAGCATTTCAGTGAGGCTTCTTTGGCGCTTTTATCTAATAGTTGATTCAATCGGCTATTAGATAAAAGTGCTAAAAAAGCCCTGCTGAAGCACCTGATCTATACAGACATTGGGCGAGCCAGGTCTAAGGGAGCGCCTCTTTGCATGCGCCGAGAGTGCACCAAGTTTAAAGTAAAGCGCCTTTTTTTATATCTGTAAGCAGCCTATGATTGTAGGCATTGAAAACCAGATTAGTAGTTTGTCACCTTTACATCTAAAATCCTTTTGACTTTTTTCCTGTTGTTGTCTTGTGCAGAGATTTCTTGGTTGTTAGGTTTAATACATATTTCATTATTTCCTTACCTGCGTACTTCATGGAAGTGGTTTTTTTTTTTCTATCTAGGTTCTTCCAGTATGCCTTCCTATAGTAGCTTTCAGTTTAAAAATGTTTTCAAGATGGTGATAGGCTGCAATGACTAGAATTCCTGCTATTGCCTTCAGTAGAAGCGAAGTCCAGTGCTGATGATTTCTGAGAAATTTACTTAAATGTACTTTGACAAATATATGCTGTGTGCTCCTTAAATAGAACTTTTTATGATTCTTTTATACAGAGATACAAATAGTAATGAAAGTGAAGCTAGCTCAGATGAAGACTTAATTGGTCCTCCTGCACCATCCCAAACTGCTCTTCAAGGCCCAGCGGTGTGTTCCGATGATGATGATGATGAATTAATTGGACCACCACTTCCACCTGGCTACAAGAACAGTGATGATGAAGAGGATGATGATGACGATGTGCAAGAGGAAGATAATGTAAGTTGTTTTTCCTGTAAATAATATTTAAACACTTTTTTAACTTGTTGCCCAGATTTTCATCTGTAACGCTAGTCTTTCCTAATTTTCCTATATGTATAAATGTATGTAATTAATTCCTTTCAGCTTCTTGCTGTTTATAGGTATAGACAATGATAGTAACTAGAAAAGAGCATATTTTACATGAAGCCTTTTTAATAAAAATTGATTACTTTAAAAATATAAACCTATCCATATATGTCATTGTTAGCAATCCCAAATAACCCAGCAGTACTGACCAGGGACAGAGGAGAAACTAACTAAGGATATGGCTGTGTATTTCAGGTTTTCAAGTACTCATCTTAGACAGACAGAGAGAGATGCTAATATTCTAGCAAACGCTTTGTGCCCTGCTTTTAAATGGTCAATATTGCATTGCAGAATCCTGACCATTTAGTGCTTTTTTGATAGATTCCTTCCAGAAGACTGTAATGGCACTTAATAACAAGCATGGGAGTTAGAGGTACAGTCGCTGAATCAGAACTTCCTGGACCTTAAATGCTAGAGACTACAAGTGGGAGAGGAGCAAACCCTGGCCATACCCATTTTACTCTCCCTTTCAGCATCCACTCTGCCACAGTGTGATACAGGATACTAGGCAAATTGGACCTATGTTCTGGCCCAGTAAATGTGGTAGTTCTTGTGTTCACTCTATAGAAAGAAAACTAGGCTGTTCTTGCAGATTTCTTTTACTTTCTTTAAATTTAACTTCAGTTTTGTTTCTAGCTCTGTCTACATGATGAATACAAAAGTCACAGTACCTGTGAAATCATTTCTCCTTATTTATTTTCAGTGGCATTTATTTGGGAAAGAATTATATACACCACTTCACAAGTAAGGGGGCAGAAGCCCAGAAGGCATTATTTGGCCAAAAATACAATGTACAGTAAAATCTCTGTTATCCGGCTTCCCCAGGGGTAAGGGGATTGCTGGTTATGGAAAAACTGATTATCTGAAATAACCCAGCAGGGTTTTCAGATAATGTGGGGAGGGGAGGGGGTGGCAGTAGCTGCATGCAGAGCAGCGGCAGCTGCAGGTTGCAGTGTAGAGTGGTGGCGGACTGGTGCTCAGCACAGGGCAGTGCATGCGGAGCGGCTGCAGCACAGCCATCGCGAGCAAGTTCTCCTCTTCCCCTCGCCCCACGTCCAGCGGAGCAGATGGAGGGGTGATGGGGTGTAAAAATGGCTGCTCTAGGAAAAATATAACCTGGGAACAATCATGGTTAAATTACTTCTTGGAGAGTTTCTCCTGGACTAACAAATATCTGTACATGTTGACAACACAGGCTAACCATGGGCAGTCTGGTTTAGCCAGTTAGAGCTACCCTGTGCACTGCTGTCATCTGTTGCCAGGTAGACTAAAGGAGTCTGCAGACCATGTTGCGATGTGCATGGGGCCCCACTCTGGCTGAACAATGTCAGCACTGCAAAGCTGTCCACCCTTCAGGACCTCAGCATTCAAATGTCTTTACATGTGGCTCTGACTAAGTTTTTCTACCATAAGAACAAACCTGGGAGAATTCTCTCAGATTATTTGAATGGGTATACATAGCAAGATTTGGTTTAAATTAATTTCAGGCTCTGTGTTGACTGACACCAAAAATCCCATTTACTTCGAGTTGGAACGATTTACTTGACATATCTTTGTGTCCACTGCTGTGTATTGACAGGTTTCACTTGCTGTGCAACAGACCCTAATGCCCATCTGCAATTCTTCCCCTGAATTTCAGGCTTTCTGCTTCCTCCAGACTTTAGGAAGTCTTTCTGTAAATGTTGTGGCTGTACTAGAAACTTTATCTACAAACAAATAAAGCATAAAATTATTAGACTTACCTTTACTGTCTTTGAAACTAAAAGCGTTGATGCCAAGAGAAGAACGTTTTTATTTCTGTGTAGTATTGGAATTTTAAACAACAAATGATGAACAGTTAGGAAATGAGGAAATAATAGGTATGGTTTTTGGGATGTCTCAGATGGACATCAGATTAACAGAATGTTAACAGGAGGGTTAGGTGACACTTCAGGTTGAGAGGATGCCAGTCTTTGCCTTCTCTTTCTCTTTGTCCAACACCAGGAAAATAAAATTGAAGTTTCACAAGGACATAATATGATGAAGTAAAACAAACAACCTACAGTGAGAGCTGATGACTCTGTACCTGTTGTAAAGTGATACATTTAAAAAAATCCTTTGCCTGCTCTGCACAGGTGTTTTGATATTGCAGCAGGGGCTTTTCTGTCTATCATTCTAAATCAGGTTTCTTTCACTATCCCCATCCTCCTTTCAAACTGTTTTTATCCTGCTCTGCTGTCAGCACTTCTGAAGTTTGTAACTGCTTTGTAGTACTGAATAATTGAAACCACATATGGTGGAAAAAAAACCAGGCTTGGGAAATTAAGTTGTGCAGGAATCCATACTCTCACAGGAATGAAAGGCTCTGCTGTTAGTACCTTAAAAATTTTCAGGATGTACTATGCTAAATTAAAATAATATAATCTCTCAATCATGTACACAGCAGTTAAAAACAAATTTAAACCTCATGTCCCCTAATGCTTTTTATTAATATGCTATAGAGGTGTGTATTATCTTTGTAGTCTTCTACTATTACTTATCCCAACCTTCCCTGCACATCTTAATATCTGCCATTCTCTAATCTCTTTCCTTTTCCCCTTTTTTTAATCACAGCAAAATTTTGGAAATACAAGCTCTAAACCTGTTTGGTTCATCTTCCTTTTTTATTAATAAGCAGCAAATGGTGGTTGTGCTATCAACAGTGAATAAGTGTGGGTGTTTTTACAGAGTGCATATACTTGTGTGCCTGAAAATAAATCAAAACTGGATTTTAAACTTAATACCTAGATTGTTCCTCAATATTTAATTATCGAAGTATTTTGCATGTCAGAAAAAAATCCTTGCAGATCTGCTTCAGTGGTAATAATAAACATTTTCATTTTCTTCAAAATATTGTAGAAATCTTATATCTCACAGTGCTCACACTAATGCTCTCACTAGAAGTTCTGTTGTACTTATTTAAAGGTGAAGAAACTATTGCAAACAGTTTGTGGACTGCCCACATTTATAGACCCAAGCCTCTATCAAAGCAGCTGTTAAAATTCTGAGGAAGCCTGGCTTCTAGCTCCAGTTTATAGACCTTTCATCTTATGTAATTATCAAGGAATGGTATTTTGGGGTAGAGGAATGGTGTTCCTGTGTGTAGTCAACCAAGGTCTTGATGTGAAAAGTGGCTAACCCTTCCAAAAGCAGAGAGCAGCTGGGTGTCTCATTTATATGTGGATGTTTGACAAAATACTTTATATAATTGTCATTTTTAAGTCTCTAGGCAGGGGGGAGAGAATGCATTTTCAAGCAAGAAATATTGGTGTATAGTAGGCTGTAACCAGTAGAAATGTACAGTTTCTTTATAAATTCTGGCTACCCTGTCATAGCTCCGCTGGCAAACCACTAAGGCCTCAACATTGATATTGGCCTTTGTTATAACTGGAGCTGAAGATGTGAAATAATGCTATAGTTGCCATCTGTGTGGATAATGCTAATTGTATCTGTCTCCATTATAGGTCAAGGAAGTAACTGCATTGGAAATGTTCTAGGAACAAGAGTGTAGCTCTTTATATGGAGATTTGTCAGTTTGGGGACTATTGTGCTCTTTACCGTGTAAATTGAGTAGTTTTATTAAGCATACAACTGTCCAAGTTTTAGAATTCAAATGATAGTAGTTAGTGCTGTATAAATTATTTTATCTGGGTATGTTCTCACTACCAAGTTATAACAAGGCTTTCTTGTAATCATGGTATTTGTTTGTTTTGGCAAGATGCAACTAAATGCTCAGCATACAATTAGATGATGGTAGGGGTTTAGGATAAGGATAGCACTTACTGGGAAGTTAGAAGATGCATTTCCTATGGGACATGTGCATGTACGTTTTTAAGAGGTTGTAGAGAGATTTCCAAATCACTGAGTGAGATTTCTTATGGTACAGAAGCTTAGGAAATTAAGAGTGAATTAAGTGGTGAAATGGAACCTCTTGGTGTGCTGTGTACCATTTCCTTGTTGGTTTCTAGCAAATATGGCTGAATTTTAGTACTGCTACACATGCGTACTTGCAATTCTTTAGGATGTAAATCATTTCTAGAAGTTGTGTAGCGACTTTGACTTGATAGCTGCCATAATGTTAGGTAGGGGTATTTTTGACAGAATTATCGATAGACCTGGCCAGATAGGTGGATTTTGAGTTTGTGTGCAGTTTCTTTTTACTTTCTGCCTCCATAGGGGAATGAGAAACTTGCTTAGTGGAATTCCTGCTCTATCTTGGGAGAATGCCAATGAGAAAGTGATGTGCTGTGCCAGCTGACTTCATCTTTCAAATCTGATTAGTTTTTCTGAGTGACCACCTTGTTTGCTCGTTGATCGTATAAAATCCTAGCAATATTTTGGCCCTGCCATTCTGTTTGTGTGTTCATTTGAATGAAGGAGCTCACATGAAAAGACTACCTATGATTTTAAAAAATACAGTATCTGGAAACCTAGGTTGAGAGACCCAGAATAAAGAAACCTAAAATGAAAAGTTTTAAGACGTAAGCTAAAATGTAAATTTTTCTGAAGTGGTGTAATTTAAGGTTGTATGAACTACAGGCAGAGCTTTAAAAATAGTCTAAGTAGATTTGCTTGAGAATAAGCAGAAGGGCAGAAATGTGAGACTTTTAGGGGTTTCAGTTTAAACAGTTAATTTATAACTGGGAAAACCGTGTCATCATGGATGCCGGAGGCCTTTGGGGTCCAAAGCTTCTCCTTACTGCTGTGCCTTGAACTCACTTATTTCCTTTCCTGTGAAGGTAATAAGGAAACAGCTGCACTTCTCTGATTTCCTGTTGATCGACTGGTGATCACAATAAAATCCTTTGAGCCTCAAGAAAAGCAGGTGTTGATGCTGTGAGAATTCCCTGATCCCTTTTTCCTGATTATATATCAGCCTGTGGTTGGGGCTAAGGGAGTGTGTCAGGGTGGAAGCTAGGTGACACTTAAAGGGTTGATTCAGGTAAATAAGCTCTTTTAGTTCCAGATGGATTTTGGACAGATTCTTTATTCTGGCACAACATTTTTACAATGCAGTTCCACTGAAATAAACTTAGAGGTGTTTGACCTTGAAAGAAGCTAGTCATTTTCTTGAACAGCCTCTAAACCTCAGGCCTGGAGACCTCTAACAGTTCATAGAATAGCTGTTGCACATGTCAGTGATACTGGGTTTATTGCCTGTATGCCTTGACTTTGAGCTTAGAGACAACTTCTAACAATGGGAGGGTTGTTCTTTCTTCATAGTAAATTGAGTTGTTACCTTCTCCACTTGGACTATCAGTAGTATACATTTTGGTGGGATATAGGCTTCTACGTGAATCAGTATCGCACACATTCATAGCGGCTCTGACGTAATGGAGGCTGATCTAAGACTAGCCAGCCCACTTGGAACAGGGTATTGAACAGTTATTGGAGCTACTACATTTTAATAATTACTAGCCCAAACTGGAAGCTGTTCACACTTAATCTATCTAATGTTTTTCTAAGAAGATAAATAATAGTTTGCAACTGCTGAGCATTCTGCTGTGAACTGTTTTGAATCAAGGTGTTTATATTTTTTTGGATAGCTTAATCCCACTACATTATTATGTTTATGCAGCTGCTGTCTTGACTTTCTTATTAGTACTTTTATCAGAAATAAATAATATCAGATGTAATTGGGAACCTGTCAAATCTTAATGAAATCCTGTGTTAGTATTCCTGCAGTTCATTGTTATATTGGCTTAAGAAATTTATAACTAGAGATTATTTGATATATTATAATTCACTTCTATCTTTCTTCCCACTACCCCAGAATCTAGAAAAACAGTATCAGGTTATCTGCTTGTAAATACTATAAAAATGTTTGGGTTTAAGTGTCTTCCTGTGGCAAACTACAGGAATCATACAAATTTGATTTCCAATCAAGGGTTATTGGTTGTAAATGTGTTGGTCTAAGGACATAGGCAGGCCAGGTTCTTTGGGTAGATGTGATAAAATTTTAGTTGGTCTAATAAAAGATATCACATCTACCCAAAGAACCTGGCCTGCCTATTTCTAATTATGTTTATTTTAAGTACTTACAGGTACTACATTTGTTCCTGAGATGCTCTAATTTTTTTTTAAAGATTTATAATTACATTTTCCTATTCCGTTAACTTTTCATATTTTACCTTTTCATTTGAAGGACCCAAATTAATGAGGGAGGGAGGGGGGGCAGTAAAATTGACCATTTAGAGCATGCTGTTATATACACAGTGTGCGCATCTAAATGAGACATTTACTGCAGAGTGGCCTGATTAGCTCAGCAGTCAAATCTCAGCATCTACACAAGTGACCTGATTAGGCCGCAGTAAGCTAATAAACTCCACCATAGGTTAGTACTTGTAAACACAAGTGCTAATCTACAATGGGATTATTGTACAGTGTGCAGCAATGCATGTGTAGGTGCTGACTGGGGCACGAAGCTGCTTTAGAGCAGGGGCTGCCTGCTCGTGCCCAATCGGCCCCTCTGCAGCACATTAAGCCAGGTTGGAGCAGTCTTGGGATGGCAGACCCCTTGGCCTGCTGCCAGCTGCGGCTGCTCTGACCTAGTTCAATATGTTGCGGTCCTGGGCACATGTGAAGACTTGGTGCCCGGGATCAATAAACTTCAGTGTGATATGCACTGGAGTTGATTGCATTAATGTCATGTGTAGATGTGCTCAGCATAAGCAGACTTGAACATGAAAGATATTTGGTTTAAATGCTCAGATAAAGTAATGTCAGGTGATATATAATTATGGTTGGTTTGAAAATAGAAATGCAATTTATGTTAATTTTTATGTCCCTTTTAAAGATGCAGGTGGTATAATATTAACATGTCTCTATTTAAAATGAGAAGGCATCTCATCTTGTGCTGTGCTTTAAAAGGTTAAAATCATAATAGACTAGAAATCACAAATAAACTTGCATTACTTCAGCC